CACAGAGATCCAGATGGATTTCTATCTCTGGAATGCTAGGATTAAAGGTGTGAGTGCCACCATTTTCTAGCCTTTGTATCTAGTGGCTGTCTGTTCTCTGACCCCAGATAAATTTATTAGAGTACACAATATTTTGGGGAACACAATACCACCACACACACACACACACACACACACACACACACACACACACACACTTTAAAACAACAGCGCCAACAACCCACAGTGGGCTGGTGTTAAAAAAGTTGAGAGAACCATCCAGCTGGTCTGGATACCTAAACAAGTAGAAACACACAGATCTCTCAAACGGGAAACCATTTTGAATAGTGTTTAGGATTTTGTGTTGTCTGTTCAGAGCTCTGCTGTTATTGCTTCTTCATGACCTTTCACAACAAATGCATCCTTCCCCATCTCCTAGCTACACCACAGGGTCCAGATCTCTGGCTGCTTTGTCAAGTTTTGAAATGGCATATAATTGAGAGTTCAGCTTGGAGGTCAGAGCCAGGAACACCCCCATGCCTGCACACATGTCCACATTGGCTCAGTAGGATCCAGAGCAACCTCCAGGAGCTCCCTAGAGCTTAGGGGCTGACTCAGATCTCTCTCAGGAGGCCTAGTGGGAGGGACCAAGGAAGTTGCAGTTTCTGGCCCCCAGTGAGTGATGGGATGAGGCTCCTAGGTGACTTTCCACATGACTGGCAGGGCAAGGAAAGAGGAAGAAGCCCCCCTGTGGCTCCAGCAGGCAGGTTACAGCCAGGTGTCTGCATGGAGCAACCTCGGGGAGGCCCATGGGCATCCCAAGAGCCTACTAGAGGTTGACACCAGAATCCAAGGCCAGCACACTGAACGGACATGTTCCTGTCCAGGCTCTCCTGGGTGGGTCAGCTAGCCATGAGAAAACAACAGGGTCCAACGTGACAGTCCCCACATTCTGAAGACTTGAAAGGGAAATCCTTTGGATTGGGTCTGGACTCCTGGGGCTCAGCCTGGCCTGGCCTGAGGCTGCCAGAAGAATAACAAATAGGAAGGGTCATGGGGTGTGATTGGCTCCTGAGGTGGTGAAGGTTTCTTGGCTGCAGGGATTCTCGTCTGTTCCTACCCACCTCATTGCTGTGATGACTGATGCCCACCCTCTCCCTATGGCTCCCACTGGCCTCTGTCTCAGGACCTGCTGTGCATGGCAAGGTGCAGTGCTCCACAGTCTCAGTGCTCCACAGCCTCAGGACTCCTCCCAGCTGTGCTCCACAGTCTCAGTGCTCCACAGTCTCCGTGCTCCACATCCTCAGTGCTCCACAGCCTCAGGACTCCTCCCAGCTGTGCTCCACATCCTCAGTGCTCCATATCCTCAGTGCTCCACAGTCTCAGTGCTCCACAGCCTCGGTGCTCCACAGTCTCAGTGCTCCACAGTCTCAGTGCTCCACAGTCCCAGGACTCCTCCCAGCTGTGCTCCACAGCCTCAGGACTCCTCCCAGCTGCACTCACTGGTGCCTCCCCTCCGAAGCCTCTGCTTCTGTTCTTGCCACCTCCGCTCTCTGGTGTGTGTTTCTCTGGCTTTCCATTTCCCTTTTCCTCCCCTCCCTGCAGATGCAGGATGCAGAGGAAGGCCAGCAGAGGGCAGGAGCCCTGGAGAGGACTCAGGAGGCAGATGAGTGCTTGCTCCCCACTGCTTGAAGGGCAGAGGAGTTTTGCTGGTTGTTCGGGCTCTCACCTATGGGAACAGGCTCACTCATAGGAAGCCCCGGATTGTGCCAAGGCTGTTGTGTATTAGTCAGCTTTCTGTCACCATGATGCAATGCCCAAAGCTTGGACAGGGGGAATGTTTAGATGGCTCCTACTTTGGAAGATTCCTCTCCGTAATTAGCCTCTCGTTGCTTTGTGCCTATGATGAGGTAGCGAATTACAGTGCTATCCAGTAGAAGAGCAAAACTGCTTATTAACTCGTCAGCTAGAAAGCCAAAGGACCCCACCGTCCAACTCAGGTGCATGCGCAGTCATCTAAGGGCCCCGCTCATTAAGCCTGGCCTCCTAAGGTTCTACCTGCTTTCAAGCCTTTAACACAGGGGCCCTTGTTGGGGAGTTTTCCAAACCTCTGCCTTGTACAGTGCGGATTGCACAGAACAGAGCTCTGTCCTGCAAGGCAAACCCCGTGGCCTCTGCCGATTTCTGTGTTCCCTATATCTCTGTTTGTGTGTTCCGCACCTTGCTAGGAGTGAGTCAGGATGCATCTTTGCTCTGCTTCCCTTCGCAGCCCCTTGTTGTCCGTATCACCCACAGCCCACTTGCGGTGCTGAAATTGCTGAAACAAAGAGCAGCCCAAGGCTGATTTTCTCTTGCCGCGGTGGGAGGCCGGGAGTCATTCCTGGTCCTGGGCGGCAGTGAAGGCAGACCAAGCATGTGATAGCAACACCCAGGGAGAATACATCAAAGCAAATCAGAGATCTCTGGAGCCGAGTCTGGCAGGATTAGAAATAGAGGTTCAGGGCCAGGCATCGTGGGGAACACCACAGTCCCAGTTCTCGGGGCTGAGGCAGGAGGAATGTGAGTCCAAGGTCAGCCTGGGCAGCCGAGACCTTGTATTAAATGAACCAGACAGGAGGAGAGCAGGGGAGGAAGGGGGGGAGGGAGGGAGGGAGGGAGGGAGAGACAGGAATGTTCTAGCAAAGAACATTGGGTGGAATTGCAAGTTTTCAGGATCGCCTGACCTCCTCCTTCCTACTTGTACCTTGTAAATCCCCCCCCCGAATTCTACGCTCAAGTGGCCATTTTCCTTCTGCTTGACCAAACCTTGATTCTTCTTATGTTTTTAGAAACTGACATGTGAGCATGCTCTGATTACCCCCAAAACATCAAGGGTGAGTTAGAATAAATATTTCTCTTTCAGAACAATTTACATAGAGATGGGATTTTGTTTTGGAGAATGGAGTGAATGTAAATAGAGATGTCTGTGTGAATACTCAAAACTCAGGGCAAAGGGAATATCAGATTTATTCTGGACTTCAGACTGCCCTGCAACCCAAGAGCCGACTTTCAACCTTAATTCCATACCTAGCAGGAAGGAGAAGAAAATATGTAAGACTTAATTCCTGCATGGGGCGCTTGACGTATATTAATCTAGTTGATTCTGACTATAAATTCCTGAAGGGACATTTTTATTTCCTCTTTACAGACACGGAACCTTGAAGAGAATATACAGAAGCTATGGATCCCTGGTCAGGATTGTAACTCACACTGGAATGGGGCCACCATTCCCTGTGGACTTATCAAGCCACACCCCTGCCTTTTTTTTTTTTTTTTAAACCAACCACACTTAACACAGCTTTTGGCTATTTTGTTCCCAATGCTGTGCCAGTGGCATGATTTTAGAGAAATTTGGAATGTGAAACTGTCAGAGAGTATTTTGTAGGGGATTAGAAGTGTTTGGGCTACTCAGGAAATAGGCTCCAACTGAGAACATGTAGATGTTAGGTGCTGTCCACTTAGGAATGCATCCTGGACCAGAGGGAAAGGATTCATGGGAAACTGGCAGGCGGTGCTGGAAGACACAGTTGGTAAGGTGAGGAGGGAGCCTGTGCCAGCTGGCCGGAAGTGAGAAATCCACCCATCTGCACTGGCTGGCTTTGCCACAGTCTTTTCCATTTTCATTGGCATCAAAGTGATTTTAACTCCTTTTCTGAATTTGCTAAGAAACTATTATTTTAAATGTCTCTGTCATTATCCTGATCTTCAGTTTCCTTCCATAGGTCTTTAAAAAATCCTGCCTTCCCTGTAGAGGATAGGGTGATTCTCCGGAAACAGCCTTCTCCTACACAGAGCTGCCCATGTCATCCTTTGAAGCCTGAATTCCATTGTCTTTCTTCTGTGCTCATCTGGGATTGACAGGAGTAAAAGTGCCCCAGACAGTACCTTCTGGGAGATGACTGAATGGACCCCAGAGTGTCCCCAGTTTATTTCCTTCCAATCCTTGCCCTGATTTTATGTAAGACAATATGTAGATACACCTCTGTCCCAAAAGATGGAAAACCACACACTGACAAACACATTACATTTCCTCTTTGTGGCATTTTCATTATGATCAAACTGAGTGTGGGGTACATAAATGTAATACATTAAAATTTTAAAGTAATTAAAAATTTCGAATTTAACTTTAAAAGATACTTTAGTATTTTCATTTGTTTATTCCAGGGTCAAATAAAACAGTAAAGCCATGAATTAAAAGGCCCAGACCCGGGTGCCTAGCTCTTTGCTGCAGACCCTCCATGTTAGCCTCTACGTCAGAAGGGTTCCCTTTGCCCCGTGTTATTAGACCAGCCCGAAATGCCTGTCCACTGTGGCTCCTCACATCATTCCTGGATTTAGGAAGATTATTAACGATTTTCATTTAATTTCCTTCTGGATGCTTGGCAGAGAGAGAGAGAGAGAGAGAGAGAGAGAGAGAGAGAGAGAGAGAAGCAAATACATATGCAAGCAAATAACTTTTAAATCGTCTTTGCTAAGGACATGGCCACTCTTGTAGAAGCCTGCATGTTCATACTTTAAGAAGACTGAGCTTGAGAACAAGAGACCAGGTAGATCATGGTCCCAGCTCAGATCTGTTCCCAGATATATGGAGGATTCGTTTCTACCATAAAGTTTCTCCATTGACGTACTTCTGCTTTAAGTATCATCAGCCTTCCATGTCTGCAGGTTCCACAGCTAAGAGTTCAACCAATGATGGAGGAAAAGTATTAGAGAAGCACACATATCTATATTGAACATATGCAGATTGTTGATTTGGATATTATTTCCTGAATGATATGGTTTAACAACTAACTACTTAACATTTTATAAGGCAATATCAAGATGTTTGAAAGCATACAGAGGAATTGTGTAGCCTATAAGCAAATAACATGCCACTGTATTGTATTATTAGAAGTTCAGGGTCAGGCATCACGGGACATACCACAATCCCAGTAACTGGGGGATGAGGCAGGAGGATTTTTTGTTCAAGGTCAGCCTGGGCTACAGAGTGAGACTTTGTATCTTACACTACTATAAGTTCTTTGTATTGGTTTTTAATAGTGGGAAAAATTTAGAATATGCAGAAGAGATATTACATATATATATATATATATATATATATATATATATATATATATATCCTAATGAATTATGTGTACCTATCATTAAATCTCAACAATTTTATGTAGGGGACTTGAGCAATGGTGAATCTTGGTATCCACAAGGGAGCATGTTGACGCCAATTCTACGTGGAGACTGGTATAGCATGAAAGCATCGGATTTCTTCATGGACCATGATACAGGCGTATTGGCTTTACATTAGTTTTTCTGAGACTCGGTCTTTCAATTTTCCAGTACTTCATTGAGCTCTCTTTTCTTTGATATATCATTCAGACTTTCCTGAAAACAGCTCATCCATCTCATTACTACCCAGATACTCACTCACTAGATCTTCCGGGTTTCTGCACAGCGATAAGCCACTCGCTGCTGCTCCAGGTGATGATTAGCCCTGGCTCAACCGTAAGCTCTCCAAGGCAGGAACTGACACATCTGCTGTGACGTCACAGAGCAGCACCGAACACATAGTAAGAACCAGCGGCAGGCTGGTGGCTTCTCTTGTCCATCTACCACAGCAGCCTCCCTCTGTACTTGCCAGTTCTTTGAAACTTAACCGAGACTCTAACCAAAGAAAGCACATGGAGAATGGCGCCTCCACCAAGGACTCTTGGCTACCTCAATCCAGTCTGCGCTGGTCCGGGTTCACAGTCCTTTAACAGAAGAACATTTCTGGATGTAACATTTGGACATTGATTCTGGCAGCTGACACTTGAGGGAGAGAGTGGGAATCAGATCCCATCTTCACAGTCGAGGAAAGCAAGGGCAAGAAGCTTGAGGCTAATATGTGCTGGGGTCAGATCAACGAGTTCGAGCCTGTCCATAAACATCTCGATCTCTGCAGCGCAGTGTATGTAAAGGGAGTCGGGATCTGAGCACGTTTAGTGTACGTGTAGTATGCTGGCCATCTGACTCTGTGGCCAGACTGACAGAAGCCCTTCGAGGTGTCTGCGGAAGCACAGGGAGCAAAAAGCACACACACCTCAGGCTCTGGAGAGCACTCATGGCAAATGCTGAATGACAGGAACACAAGGCATGTGAGAGGGGGAACGCTATCTTCAGACAGGAAATGAGAGAGAGAGAGAGAGAGAGAGAGAGAGAGAGAGAGAGAGAGAGAGAGAGAGAGACCAGGCCCCACAATTTCTCCTACATGCACACCTCCGGTCTACCTCAGACCTCTCACCAGGTTTTACTTCTTGAAGGGTCTCAGGACACACACGGCTGTATTAAGGTTCGGATCATGAACACAGACACTTCAGGAACAAACCACTTCCAGTCTCTACAGGGGTGCAGCTTCGTACTTAAGTCTATGAACTAGATTGAGGTCATTTCTTGAGGCAAGTGTTAGGATCTTGCCCTCACTCCTGCCCATGCCCAGCTCAGGGTCTTGTGTCTTACATCATCCGGGGCACTGGCGACTACATAAGCGCCGGCGTGGTCACACAATCTGCACCTTAAAAGACAATGCAGATCCTACGCTCTCTCTGCTCCCTGCTCCCTGCTCTGCTCTGCTCCCCTCTCCCCCAACCCCACCATCTTCCTCTCTCACCAGGCCTGGTCTTCTTCCCCCTTTATCCCTCCTAATAAAGTTCTGAAAACTAACACTGGGTTCTGTCGTGACCGGGACCTTTCCACGCGGTAACCAGCGCCGCCACCAGCGCTGTTTATCATCCTTTCATTGGTGCCGTGGACTCGGATAGGAAATTCCACTCACTCGGGGTCAGGGGCTGAGCATTGTCGGAAACCTATACCCAGGACCTGCGACTGCCCGCTACACTTATGCTTTTTCATTTGCTCAGCCGCAGGACCGCTCTGCACACACCACATGGGCCGCCAAGACTGGTGAGTTCCCCCACCGTTTCCTGCGACGGCAGCCTGAGCTCTCTATTCCTGGACCCCCAGGGGGTCCTCGGGCTGCGCTGGCACCGATTCATTCTCTCTCTTGATGAAGAGGTCAATGCTGTTAGACCCCCCGTGGGGGGGGGGTCCTCATGCTGCGTACGCTCCCAGCCCTTACTCCTCTCTTGACGAAGGAATGAAGCGGGGAGTAACCGGTGCTGATGCATAGATCTGTCTCCTACCTCAGGGACGCCTGGGACTGGAGTCTGACCCTGGTTTGTTATTTTAATTTTTTATTTTTCTCTCTCGGTGCTGCAGCCATGGGACATAGGGGTGGATACCAGTAAATCTGGCTCTTTCAACCCCGATATTTCAGAGGAATTATCTAACTTTTGCCAGCGAATGGGCAAATGAAAAGAGCTACCTTATCCCCAAGCTTTCTACTGAAGCTCTGAACCCTTCTCCTTCTCCATTTCTGATTCTTTCGCTGCCATGTGCAACCACGGCTGTCTATCTGACTTCCGTTCTCCGCCCTCCAGTGTTGCTTGGGCTGCTTCTGCCCACTTAGTTAAAGTCTCTCACTTTAACTCACCTTGACTCCCCCCACTCATTCTCAAGCTGCCCTGAGAAGCACAGACGGGTCTGGAAGCAGGCTAGAATCCATGCAAATAAGTTGACAGTAGTCAGGGTGGCTCTTTAGCCAGAGATCGGTTTCTAGCCTGCCTCCTGGTGGGTCTTCCTAAAGCTGTCCCCAAGCCAGCAGACATTAAAAAAAAAAAAAAAAAATTCCAGGCATGGAGTAAAATCCATCTCTTGTCCCCCAGACCTCCCCGACATAGGGCTAAAACTTAATTAAGCATCTGGAGAGCAAGGCTCCTGACCCCACAGGCGGAAGTTTCAGCTGTGACATTTAAAGTGTACCAAAGGAGAGATGAAAAAAAGCTCGAGAACAGAATTGCCAAGTGCTGGCACACACTGGCTCCCGAAAGCCGTTGGGTCCCTGTTTTAAGTGTGTGTGGGGGGACAGGGGGGAGGCCATGAGGGCTAGTGCATGCCCTGCCAGGCCATCAATTGAGCCTTGTTCAAAGTGCCGCCTAGAAAGACAACCAGTCAGCTGACTGTACCCAAGCACCAAGGTGCAAGGGAACATCAAGCTAAGACCTCCAGCAGACCTAGGCTTGGCCACAGGCTTGCAGGGAACCCAGACTGTAGCATGGAAGCAATCCATTTCTTTCCTTCTGGACACCAGAGCCACTAACCCAGTCCTGGCAGTTTGGGGGTCTCACCTCTCCTCGTTTCCCTACTGTTGGGGTAGAGAGGACAGCCTTATCTCCCCGCTCCCAGATTTAATTGTACTTTATGGGCTACTTGATGGGAAAAGATTTCCCAGCTAAGGTAGGAGCTTTCATTTCATTGCTCCCTCCATGCCTCACTCCAGACCTGTCAGAAGCGCTTCTCCTCCTCATGCACAGGGACACAGACAGGGCCCTGATCTCTGCCTTGTCCCTAATTCCAAAGAAATCATTTCTCATGCACCACAAGCTTTTCTCTTCCCGGTTCCCTCTCCTGATTAACTGCTCAGCTAATAGTTACAGGACCACCACAGAACTGGAGTCCAGAGATCATCAAGTAAGAAACTGTAACAGCTAAAAGTTATTAACACCCCCAGACCCAAAAGTGTCTGGGCTCTACAAAAACAGACTTTAACATAACCATCTATTACTGTTAAATGCTCTCAACAATTGATCATCTGTGTCTCCAGGATGCTAAACTAGTAAAGGAAACAGGTGCCTTAAAATAATCTGTCTCTGATAAAGCTTAAAAACATGTTCCAATCTCTCTGTCTCTCTCATTAACACTAACCAATATAAGCAGAGTACTAAACACTACAATGGTCACTAATTTTCTCATGGCTGCTTCTTAACATGTTCAATTTTTCCCCCCAAGCCCCAGAAACCAGCTTAAATCCATCTGGACAGGTCGGATCTACTTCAGGCTTTTCCTGTCTCACCAGCATCCTGTCAGATACAAAAGCGGCCAGGGTGCCACGCCAAGAGGAATGGATGGCTCCAGGGCAGCAGGACAGCCCACCATCCCAGGACGGCTGTCTACCTCGGAAGGCCTCCTTCCCTGCCCCCTTCCCTACCCCCTCTCAAAGAGCCAACCCATGCCCACCAAGTCAGCTGGAAGCAGTTTTTCTGGGAGAAACGGATGCCCCTATTCCTATTCACTTGCTTTTCTATAATGAGCAAAAAGTCTGGAATGTTAGAATCCTTCCCTCACTCCCGCACATGCGCAGCTCGGGGTGTTGCGTCTTACGTCATCAGCAGGCACTGGCGACTATGTATGTGCGGAGTGGTCACGCAATCTGCATCTTAGAAGCCAGATGCAGACCCCACGCTCTCTCTGCTCTCTGCTCCCCTCTTCCTCCACCCCACCATCTTCCTCTCTCCCCAGGCCTGGTCCCCTTCCCCCACCTTTTCCCTCCTAATAAAGCTCTGAAAACTAACACTGGGTTCTGTCGTGACTGGGACCTTTCCATGCAGTAACGAGCGCCGCCGCCACCACCACCGTTTACCATTCTTTCAGTAAGGGCCAAGATTCATTTTGCCTACTGAACCCTGACTATTTCAAAAATCATTTGTTGGGGCTGGAGAGATGGCTCAGTGGTTAAGAGCACAGGCTGCTCTTCCAGAGGACCCGGGTTTAATTTCCAGCAACCACATGGCAGCTAACAACTCTATAACTCCAAGATCTGACACCCTCACACAGACACACATGCAGGCAAAATGCCAATGCACATAAAATAAAATAAAATAAAATAAAATAAAATAAAATAAAATAAAATAAAATAAAATAAAATAAAATAAAATAAAATAAAATTTTTTAAAAAAATCATTTGTTAAGTAGACCCCCCCCCAATTGAATTGTTATGACACTTAAAAAAATGTACTTATCATTGATTCAGAATGAGGCCTTTTCTGAACTCTCCATTGATCTGGATGTCTGCTGTTTCCTTAGTTCCTGTAGCTCTTCTACACGCTGAGAATAACTAGTCCAGGTTCTTCCACTGTGCTCCCTCTCAAATCGCTTGGTTTCTGTAGGTTCTTTGCATTTCCAGTAAAGAACAATAAACTCTGCAGTTTTTACACAACCCCCGCCCCCAGGCACACTTTCCAGAAGTTTGGTTGGAATTTCACTGAGTTTATGTATCAGTTTGAGGAGAACTCACCTCACATCCAGTTTGTCATATTTCTCACTTATTTAAATCTTCCTTAATTTTTCTTCACCATCTGTGTTAGGTTTTGGTGTGTACAGGTACCATATATGCTGTGTTAAGTTGACCAAAAAGTATTTCATGTTTTCAGAGATCACTATAAATTGAGCAATAATTATTATTGTTAATTCAATTGCTAGCCTGAGTGATAATATTTTTGAATCACTTTAACATTTTTTTATTGCTCCTATTTTCTTTTAGTATCTAAAATATATATGATTTTTGTCTTTAAAGCATGTGACCTTGCTAAATACACATTAATTTGTAGAATTTTTACTATTTTTTCTATTTTCTATATAAATAACTACATTCACTATATATTCACTATAAATAACTTTTTTGTATTTGTTCATTAGTTTGTACCTTTTATTGCTCAGTATTATTCCATTCCACTAATGTGCCTTTCTAAAATATTCTCTCTTTAAGAGCTTTCTTTAAAAATATTCGTTAACGTTTGATTAAAAAAAAATGGGTTGCTATGTTTTGAGCCATCAAGCCACAGGAGCATTTGTTGAAATTCCTCCTGCAGACACGAGCTTCGGCAAATACCAGCAGGTGGAATGGCTGGCTCTTGTCAATCACAGATGTAGACTTGCTTTTGTAGGAAAACAGCGAACTGTCTCCTCACAACAGTTGTACGGTTTTGCGTTGCCACGAGCAGAGCACTGGCAAATAAGTAGAGCCAGCCTTTACTGACTGGCCGCCACACTCACCTCTTCCTCTCAACACATTCCATCTACTAGATGACCTCTCCTGCTCTGGCCACCTGGTCCCCTCCCAGGGGCTTCAGCATACAAAGCAACTTCCTGTTTCACAGCATCCTTACCACTGGCTTCCTCTCTCCTGACCCTCTTCCTTTATCTCTTCAGAAGTTCTGGCTCTCTTGTTCACCTAGGGTTGTAGACCACATCCTCAGAGCCTAAGCACTCTACTTAGACATTGCCTGCCCCTGCTTCATTATTTTCTACTTGTTTTTTTTTTTCCTTTGTAGCATTCTTTCCTGCCTGTAATTATAGCTGGTTTTTTTTGTTTGTTTGTTTTGTTTTTTAATCTATTTCCTTGGCTGAATGAAAGTTTTCCCACAGCATACTGTGAAAAGAACTAAGACTGGGACTTCGATCATTGAACCCTTTACTTACAACCCATTTGCTTATCACTAGTGTTTTTTGTTTTTTCATCCTTATTTGAGAAATACTAGGCAAATTTGTAGGAAGATCTAACTCAGCTGAGCAGACTGACTTGGACAATAGTTATTATAATAGACTGAAAAAAAAAATATGTTCTCATGAGTCCACCTGAGAAAACTGCCGTTGAATCTGCCATCCAATTTTTGGGCTTTCTGGTTGTCCTTGTGCAATAGTTCAAGAAGACAGGACACATTTGTTACTCCCACGCTCAACCCCTGCCTGAATCTTTTATGAATGACACACTGTTTTATTAAGAGGGACCAGCATTGCACCTATGACAAATGGGATTTAGTAAGAATTAACTTTGGGGGCACACACTGTGCAAGAAGCGAGGACATGGCCTGTCTAAGGTATGGTCGAGGGGAAGGTTTTTGTTATGAGGG